GGCGTCTCCTCGGCCCCGCACGGCCCCGCCGCCCCGGGTTTGGTGGAAGTCCCCTAAAATGCTGTTTTTCTAGGTTGGGGGGATAAGGTTTGTGCTGCGACGTTGGGTTCCTAACTTAAAAAACAGAAAGGAAAAAAAGAAAGGGCTTGTAACGCGCGTGGCGCTGCGTAAGGGAGGTGCTGCCGAGCGCCGGTGCGGGTTTTGCTGCAGGAATTTGTCAGAACGATGCTCAGCGCTATCCGAGCGGCGTGGCGAGCGCAGCGTGGCCTCTTAGCAGGGGAATGTGTTTGCGGAGCGATTATTTGCCGTTATGGTAGGGCTGTATTTGGCGTTACGGAGGGAGCTGAACCGGCCTTTTATTCAAAGCACTTGCGTAATTGTTTGGGGCATGATAGGGGAAGGTTTTGTTGCTTGCTCGCCTCCGAAGGTTGGCACCAACCCGGCTCGTTGCCTTAAACGCCCATTTCCTAGCGCGGCTCGTTGCTCCCCGGCCCCAAAAATGCTCCCTTGAAGCGAGGTGTGGGTGTACTGGGTCGGGTGGGTGCCCCGTGCTTGTCCTCAGCTCCGTGCCATGCTGACAGCACTGCGATGTGCTGCTGTCAGGGGCTGCTTCCAGCTGGGGCTGCGTTGCCTGCCAAAAAGCTACCTGAAGTTAATTATCCGAATTAGGCTTTGATAACAGCGACGTTTCTAAAAGCTAAGGAGCTCTGAAGTTTATATAATAATCTGCTTCTTGGCAAGGCTGCTTTTTTTTCTCCTTTTTTTCCCCCCTCTGTTCTGATTGCTCTGATGTTTCCAGCCTTTCCTCGTGGAGTTCCCAGCCCAAAGGCTGCCTTTGTCGCTCTGCAGGCTCTCAGAAAGAGTTAAGAGGGCATTGAATTAAGAAAGCTCAGCTGCTTGTATACAAATATACTGCAATTACAAGGCACCAAAGTTATTGCAGAATCCTACCGTCACCATGGCGACGTGCTCACTCAATTACATTTGGAAATGTAAAATGCCACCCAGTTAGAAAGAGTAAGTTTTTAGCACTGCAGATTTTCTGTACGAAGCGAAACATGCGTGGCACGGCTCTCCAGGATGCTCTGCTTCTCTCTGTGCATGAATGGCACGTGCACCTGACAGGTGTCATCGCTGGCGTTAAGCTGTGCTCTCAGTTGGCTGAATTGAGGGGAAAAAATGATTCTAAAAATCTTAAATCTTGAAAATTGATCTTCCTGTTCTTGATTTTTTTTTTTTTTGGG